ATTGGAAGGGGAAATCGTAGCTAGGAGTACATCTACACTGTGGAGTTAATGCGGTTTGATACTAACTGCGATGGCTCAGTGTTATGGAATCTTGAAGGCTTGTTTCACCTCTGTCCAATAATGCTGGTGACTCAACAAACTACACCTCCCATGACTCCCATTAAGGCAAGGCAATTAAAGTGGTGTCAAACTGCGTTAATTCTTCAGTGTAGATGCACCCTGGTTGGAAAGGGAATTTAAATCTATTTTAATATTTTGTATTTCATTGTACTGCTTTTGAAATTATGGCTCGCTTTGGGTCTCAATCCTGAGAAAAAGCAAGATAAAAGCAAGATAATAATAATAATAATAATAATAATAATAATAATGCCTTGTGGGTCATGGATCCATGGATGCCTCTACTCTGTAGGATTAATGGAGTTTGACCCCAGTTTAACTGTCATGGTTCAATGCTATAGAATCATGGGAATTGTAATTTGGTGAGACATCGTTACTATTTGATAGACAAGGCCATACAGACCTTGTAAAACTACAGCTCCCATAGCTTATTTATTTCTTTATTTACATTTACATTCCGCTCTTCTTAGTCCAAAGAGGACTCAGAGTGGCTTACAAGTTATATGTACATACAATATATTATATGATTAGCATAACACAATCTCAGTATTATATATTACTATATTGTACTATGACTGCGAGAAGATCCAACCAGTCCATCCTCCAGGAAATAAAGCCCGACTGCTCATTGGAGGGAAGGATAGTAGAGGCAAAGATGAAGTACTTTGGCCACATCATGAGGAGACAGCAAAGCCTAGAGAAGACAATTATGCTGGGGAAAGTGGAAGGCAAAAGGAAGAGGGGCCGACCAAGGGCAAGATGGATGGATGACATCCTTGAAGTGACTGGACTGACCTTGAAGGAGCTGGGGGTGGTGACGGCCGACAGGGAGCTCTGGCGTGGGCTGGTCCATGAGGTCACAAAGAGTCGGAGACGACTGAACGAATGAACAACATATTGTACTATACTATTCTATAATATTTAGTAATATTGCATGTAATATGAAATATAAAGTTATTATATTGTAGTATTATTATTAGTATTATATTGTATTACATTACAATATTATCAATATTATATGTCTATACAATATTTTATATTATTAGCCCAGCATGAACTTGATAGCATTGCGCCATGGCAGTGAAAGTGATATCAAACTGCATTAATTTTACAGTGTAGATGTGGAATGCAAGCTATGAGAGTCTATGGTGACCTCCATTTAAACTCATGTGAACCATTATTATTATTATTATCCTTGTTTTATTATTTACTCTGTTGTTATCCTGCCTTTTCCCCAATATAAGGACTCAAGCCGGCTAACAAAAATATCAAATTCAAATGCATTAAAATACAAATATTAAAACAAATGCTAAATGCTTTGTATCATCAAAATCATTAAAGTGCTGACTTTTAAACTCCAAACATTTTACAGTTAAGGTTTAAAATGTTGTGATCCCAGCTGTCATCATTGTTCCTTTATGGCATGGTGAAACCTTGTTTTTGTTTTGCTTTTCCAGTCAAGGTTGCCTCAAGGGGAGGTTCTGTGTGAATTAGCACAAAAAGTGGAGAACTGGAGTAGTGAAGCTACTTTGGCAGGGTGAAGAAGGGCTTTGTCCCCTATCTGCTCATCTCAAAACTCTTGGGAAAGAAGTGCAGAGACGCCCTGGAGTCCCTCGCGGCACAGACTGACCTTGCCATGTCCACCAGCAGTTGCAGTTTTGCAGACCGGTGTGTGTCTGTCCTGTGCTGCAAGTTCTGTCAACAAGTGCTCAGCTCCCGAGGCATGAAAGCTGTGCTCCTGGCTGGGACGGAGGCAGATCTCTATTCCACAGACATTCCTCCCACCAGGTGAGTGGTAATTTCATATCCAACAGAACCGGTTTTGTTTGTTGTCTTGTGATCCCGTCAGGAAGGTTTACATTGCCCCTAAACCACATCGCTTCATCTTGATTAGGGCAGAGGATCTATTTGTGATGGCACCCTTCCAACGTTTAGCTGTGTCATTCATGCTAATAAAGGTTAAATGCAATGGTTAGTCATAATAACAACAATCACTTTTATTTGTTACCCAACTCTCCTTACAGCTCGAGGTACATAGTTAAAACACCCAGTTGAAACAGCAATGCCATTAAAATACACATATTAAAATACATAGGACAGAGGGTAAAACACCAATACTAATAAAAGATAAAGTTAAAACTCATTGCTTAAAATTAACTGGGCAGGCCTGGGTAGTAAAGCAATGCTGGTGGCATGCATTTAATCTTCAGATTTGAATTATGGTTCATGGTCACATGATTATAATAATAACACTATGTAACAAAGGCTGAAAAAAATCTGTTTCTGTTTTGAAAGTGTTGCTTCCTGTTTAATTGTGTGGTACCAACTTTGAAAGTAGTTGCTATTGTACTTTAGCACAGCAGTTGCTATTCTATTTTAGGCCGGGCTTTAGCACAGCAGGTTAACCACCAGCTACAGTACATCTTGCCAAACGAAAGGGTGACCATTCGAAGCCTGGGTCAGGGTGACTCTTAGCCTTTAGCCCAGCCTCTGCCTACCTAGCAGTTCGAAAGTAAAAATGTGAGTAGATAAATAGGTACTGCTTAAAAGCGGGGAGGTATTTGAGGCATCCATAAGGTAATGCCAGAAAAATGCTGGCGATTCAATCAAGGAGGAAGATTATGAACAAAGTGACATCACCCCACCCCCATGCCTGAAACCGAAGCCTCCAAGATGCCGAAGATGGGAAAGGCCTATATATACATCTATCTATGTACAATTGTCTGTCTTGTCAGTGTATAAACGATGTTGAATGTTTGCCGTATATGTATTCTGTGATCCACCCTGAGTCGCCTTTGCGGTGAGAAGGGTGAACTATAAATACTATAAATAAATTCTACTTTAGCACAGCTATTCCCTAGTTTTGTGGCTGCCACAAACTATGTTGAATTGGTTGAGACTCTGTGAGATATTCACTGAAAAATTATAGCAAAATGTTCTGCAGAGTGTCTTAATAAAACTTTTTCATGTTTTTATGATGCACCCAATTAGGAAATGACATTTATAACCCAGGAACAAAAATTGTGTTACATAGTGTAGTAGTAATATCAGCAGCAGCAATGCAGTAGACTCTCAGCTAGCATCCGCAGGGATTGATAGATGCCAGATCTGGTTGCTTGGGAGTTTCTATTAAAATAGGTCTACCTAATACTATTCCTTATACTATACCACACACTCTGTATTGACTCTCCTCAAGGTACAACATATTTAAAATACATAGATAAAAGCATAAAACCATTAAATACTTATTTTAAAAGACATAGACATTAGATTAAAATACATTAAAATCATTAGTACTAACACTATGCCACCTTAAAACTCATAGTTTAATTCTTTTCTTTAATTTAAGAATTATTTTATTTTAATATTATAATACACCTACAATGCACATATACAAACATATACACATACATAGATAACCCACCACCCACTTTGCAGTTACCCCTCATCCCACCCCCACTGTTAACCTGCCAGGTTGGCAATTCAACTAAATGTGATTACTACGCACCATATGCATTTCATATGTGTATGGACTGCAAGAACAGTTATGCCATAGCTATTCATTTGAAACTGCCATTGACTGAACTGCCATTATATACACCCCTTACAGTATCTTTCATAAATATAGGAACATGGTGTTCTATTTGTGGATTGTTATTGCTATTAATATTATTCAGCTCCTCAGATGTAGGTAAGCTACACAGGTAGTTAGGCATGTGCAACTTTCTAAAGACTTGCACATCTGTGATCCAACAAGGTAAATGCGTTCCTTGAAGCCACTGTATTGTGTCTTATTATGTACTTTGCAAAACTATGGATTTTTGAACACTGCAAAAAAAAAAAAACAAGTTGTGAATTTAGTTTGGCAAATTCAGAGCGGGGGGGGGGGGTGATCCCCAATCAGCGGCTTAAATTGTGAAAGGAAAAAGGTCCTAATGTTAACCTTGTGAGGATGTTACTGTGCTGATACTGTCACTTTCACTTCCTTTGATAATCAGTTTCTGGTTTATTTGTTGTGGTAACAGTCAAAAGACCAAAGCACGATATTGCGTAAACCACAGGAAGACGTAGTCTCTGCTTTCCATCAGACTGAGTGTTTATGAATCAAAGTGCAACTGCTAAAGCATCAGCCAAAAAAAGTGTCAAATAGTGTTCAGTATAATATGTAAGAAAAATTATTTATTTATTTATTTATTTATTTGGGGTTCTTTTACCCCGCCCTTCTCACCCCGAAGGGGACTCAGGGCGGCTTACAGAAGCAAGGCACGATTCGATGCCTGCAGTACAAAACAATCAAAACACAAAATTAGACAATTACACAATTACATCACATCAGTTCATGCATTATATCAATAAAATCAATAAAAACCAATACAAACCCAATTCCTCTCTTACAAGGTCAGCGATCGCTAACTCATAGTTCTAGTTTTCCATTCCACTTCATCAATCCTGTTGGTCTTATTCACCTGACTGTCTTATTTAATTGCCTGATTGCCCAGTAACAGACTCTAAACATCTTTAGTGTCACTAAAATGTAAAATCGTGGAAGTTGTTGTTTTATAAGGCCTTTAGTTGACTTTGCCACATAGTGCTGGTGCCTTGCCAAACTACAACTCCTAGGATTTCATAGCATTGAGTTCTGGCAGTTAAAGTGGAGTCAAACTCAATTCATTCCAGTGTAGATGCACCCCATGGCAGTTGAAGTGGAATCATAGCCGTGCAGTGATGTAATGTGAAAGGACTCAGAGGACTGTCAGCAAGTATTAGTGATTTTTTTTTTGTCGTGTCAGGAGCGACTTGAGAAACTGCAAGTCGCTTCTGGTGTGAGAGAATTGGCCATCTGCAAAGATGTTGCCCAGGGGATGCCCGGATGATAACACTATGTAACAAAATTTTGGTGGGGGGGGGGGGGGGGTCTGTTACTGGTTTGAAAGTGTTATTTCCTGCTTAATTGTATGGTACTTACTTTGAAAGTAGTTATTATACTCCAGAAACTTTGTTTTTGTGATTGCCATTAGACTACAAAAGCAACGTTTTTGCAGTTTGATCAATTTTTTCCGTATTTTTAATGATAGAACCAATTAAATGACAATTATAACCCAGGAACAAAAATCACGTTACATGGTGTAATTTATCTGAGAAGGTATGTAAAAAAATTACCAATTGGCCCTCAGGTAAGTAGTACTGAAAATTAGCTATGGTTCTGTAGTATTTAATGTGTATACAGAAACATAGTAAGCTGCCCTACATTAAGCCAAAGAATTGTTCCTTGACTGCCTCTGCTGAGATTGTCACTGGGTCCCCATGGCTTCAGACAAGTCTGCCCAAGCCTTCCCTAGAGATGGTGGAGACTGAAGCATATGCTCTGTTGCTTGGCTGCAGCCTTTCCCCATTCTTCATATTTATTCTCATTGAGTACATGTGTCACATCATTGGTGCTTGACAGCTTTCGGATTTCAAAACAGCCAACACAAAATGGTAGAGTGAAATAATTTTAAAATGCACAGAATTAAAAAAAAGTCTTAAAATGTCATAGAATAAGGCGAATAAAATGTATCTTAGCCATCTCTAAAAGGCTGACATTTATTCAGAGCAAGCAAATATATTTTAAAGAAATGATAGAACAGTTTCTTCATAGCTGATAAAAGGTAAAGATAAAGGTTTCCCCTTGACATTAAGTCCAGTCTGGGGGTTGGTGCTCATCTCCATTTCTAAGCTGAAGACGCCTCCAAGGTCATGTGGCTTTACCTGCCTGCCGGAGCAGTACTTCTTGATTTACTCACATTTACATGTTTTCGAACTGTTAGGTTGGCAGAAGCTGAGGCTAATAACAGGAGCTCATCCTGCTCCCATCAACATTTCAGTCAGCAAGTTCAGCAGTCAGCGGTTTAATCCACTGCATCACCAGGGGTTTAACTCGCTGCACCACCATAGCTGATAGTTTTTATAAATTTTTAATAAAATTCAAGAACCCATACACTTTAAGTAACTGACTAGTATTAATTGCAACAATTCCCTGTGGTCATACATGATGCTTCTATAGTCTTGCTCAACAATGAAAAACATTGACCATTTTTGCGGTGGCGCAATGGGTTAAACACTTATGCCGGCTGAAATGCTGTCCTCAAAGGTCGGCGGTTCTGTTCCATGAGACAGGGTGAGCTCCCATATGTCAGCTCCAGCTTCCCATGCGTGAACATGAGAGAAGCCTCCCACAGGATGGTAACACATCAGAGAATCCCCTGGGCAACATCTCTGCAGACAGTCAATTCTCTCACACCAGAAGCGACTTGCAGTTTCTCAAGTCACTTCTGACATGATAAAACAAAACACTGAAATGGATATTGGTTCTTTTCCCTCAAACCAGAAAGCTATGTTGTAGTGTCTTGGGAAATTATACAGGCCAGAGATGAAATAACATTTTTCAATAACATAGCTGTGTTTAATGTGGCTTTGGGTGCTGATTTTTTTTTATAAAAAACACAATAAAAATGTATTACGCACCATTCTTTAACTAACTTGATATTTTTATTGTTTCAATTGTTTCTCAGTCTTGATTACTTTTGGACATTGATGCTCCAGTGTAATTTCTTTTAGTGCTTTTGGATGGATGTTTATGTTTTATACCAGCAAATTAAAGTGTTTCTGAAAGTCTGTTAGAAGACTTTAACCCTTTTCTTATGGTTACTCCCCAAAGAAATCTTACTGAGTCACATATTACAAAATATAAACATTGAAGTTACGAAAAAAAAAACGTGATAGAGTAAATCTGAGGTCAATTTTTAGATTTGGAATGCCAAATTTCTATAAAACTAGCATAAATTTATTTAAAAATTTGCATGCCTAGGCTATTTACCACTTTTGACTTCTTTATACTGTGCTGCAATAAATGATTAGTGTGGCAGCTGGATATTCTGTTAGCGCTGAGCAGTTAAACTGAAGAGAGAGCTAATGTATTGAAAAATGCCAATGTTATGAGACTATAAATCAAGTATGGCAGCCCTGTATCGGTGCATTGGTGACTACCTGACACCTGAATAACGTCTCCCATGGCAACTTCCAGCAGTAAAAAAAACAGGAACTATCTGACATAGATTAGTACAGGGAAGAGATACTTTTGCTTTACTGTTGCATTGTTTCAGGAATGCAAGAACAATGGCACTGCTTCATTGGTAACCAATGGAATGCACATCTAGGAATGAACTCAGATTAATGGGTGTTTCAAACTATTCAGTCTGCACATGCAGATTCAGCTATTGTAGAGAAAGCTCTTGACACTTTTAATCTGTCTCCCACACCTGTTCATCTTATTCTGTTGCTATGATTCATGACTAGCCATCGATATTGCAGCTAGAAGGATGCAAAGCTGGTGGAATGGTCATTACCTGGACAAACGTTCTGCAGTACATGTACACTGGTTGATCAATCGGCTGGTTAAATGGAAAGGGGAGAAAGGTGTTTTGTTTTCAAGGGGGAAAGAAGAACCTAATCAGTTTGCGTACATTTTGGGATTTAATTCTGGTTTGTAATATATTGCATTTCTTTCTTTCTTTTTAATTTTCTAACCTTTTTCATTTAGACTTTGCATAATGATTTATTGCTCATCTGCAAGAATTAATATTGCATTCATTAAAAATCATTCATATACAATATAAACCTATCCCCACCTGGGTTGATGCTATAATATGTTCCCTCCAACCAAAACTGAGGTGTTGCCAGGCATGAGGGTGTATTCAATGGCTTATATAGAGACAGACCCTTAGCTAAGTCATCTATTGACACTGCAACACAGCGGCAGACAAAGGCAATGAAGGTGTCCTCCTGACCATCACGGAAGAGTTTTGGAGATTCACTCGCATTGGCTTAAAGCAGTGGTTCTCAACCTGTGGGTCCCCAGGTGCCCCAGCCTACAACTCCCAGAAATCCCAGCCAGTTTAGGATTTCTGTGAGTTGAATATTATTGCATTTCTTATTTCGGAGTTAAGAAACAAGACACACTGGTGTATGGAACACATTCTTTCGTTGCAGAAAACATATAAGGTGGCATATCTCTCCAATTTATGCCACTTTCTGAGGCAGGGCATAAAGTTGAGAGATGGGAAACATTTAAGGCACTGCTACTAATATTATTAAGTGTAAGCAAAGTGTACATCAAAATCATAGAATTGGAAGAAAACACAAGTGCTATCTTGGCCAATCCTACTCCACTATGCAGGAATACACATTCAAAGGACTCCTGATAATCATCCATCCTCTATTTTAAAACTTCCAGAAGTAGTAGACTCCACTCACTCAGAGGCGATGTTTTCCTGGACTTATTCTGTCCATTGTATTTATGCTTCAACTTTAGCTCTAGGGTCCCTGTGAAGTTTTAATCCATTAATCTTCAAAGACATAACTGTGGTCGCTGCAATATCAGTATGTAAGGGATCTTGTAACACCTTAGAGACTAACTGAGATAATGAAGTTGGTAGTGTAAGCTTTTGTAGATTATAAATATCTGAGGAAATAGAGAGGCTTATGCTACCAACTTCATTTGCTTAGTTAGTCTCTAAGGTGCCACAAGAACCATTAATCTTGGCATAGACTGGTAACATAAGGGAGTTAGAACAGTGTTCAGAACTGACTCTTTATAAATATTTCAGCTAAAGTACTCAAAGGATAGATGACCTGCTTTTCAGATGTGTTGGGCTGCTATTCATCAAAGCCTGAGAAAACATTTTACAATCTTCAGGGTTTATGGGATATGTAGTCCAGAGACAAGGGGAGGAACACAATGTTGTCTCTTTCTGAAAGATAGAAATTAGATGTGTTTCTAAGCAGTGTTTAGGTGTTCTGCACTATTCAAAACCTGTAGCAGCAATCATATTTCCCTACATTGTGATTGCTTTGCGTACATTCTTAATGTATTCCCCCATAAGAATAAAATTGCCTGACATTCTAGTATAAAGGAAACTGTGACGTGTACACAATACAGGAATGGAAACTATGCAGCCTCTGGAAGTTCTTGAACTGTAGTTCCAGCCCTTCTCAACATTGGCTGTGCTGTTTACTGGTTCTGGGGTGTGAAATAATAGCAGGAACTGTAAGGAACCCAAGCTAGAACTATAGTCATAGAGTTGGAAAAGACCACAAGATCCATCTAGTTCAACCCCTTGTAATGCAGGAATATCCAATCAAATCACTTCTAATAGACGGCAATCCAGCCTACATTTAAAAACCTCCAGAAAAAAAGAGACACCACCACACTCTGAGGCAGCATATCCCATGTTGAAAAATTCTTAGCATCAAGGTTTTTTCCCCCTAATGTTCAGATGGAATCTCTTTTCTGTAATCTGAATCCATTGCTCCATGTCTTGGTCTCTGGAGCAGCAGAAAACAAACTTGCTTTAGCCAGAATATGACATCATTTCAAATATTTACATATGACTATTGTGTCCTCTCTTGACCTTTTGTTTTCCACACAGATTCCTAAACCACTGTTGACTCAACTTCAGCTTGTGGTCTACTAAGACTTCTAGATTCCTTTCATATGTATTTTTCTCAAACCAGCTGTCACCCATTCTTTATCTGTGCATGTAATTTCTTACCTTGTATTTCTCTATGTTAACATTTTGTTAGTTTTAGCCCAATATTCTAATCTGTTAAGGTCATTTTGACTTCTGATCCTGTCCTCTGGGATATTAGCTACTTCTCCTAATTTGATATCATCTGCAGATATTATAAGCATGTCATTTATTCCATCATCCAAGTCATTGATAAAGGTGTTGATTCGCACCTAACTCAGAAACAGACCCTGTGATACCTCACTAGTCACTTCTATTCAAGATGAAGATGAGCCATTGGTGAACATCCTTGGGATTCAAACCATCAAACAATTGAAAATCCACCAAACAGTAGTATTGTCCTAGCTCACATTGTACTACCTTGTTTGTAAGAAGATCATTTTGGACCTTGTCGAAGACCTTACTGAAACCAAGATAAACTACGTGAACAGCATTCCCCCCATCTATCCAGCTTGTAACTCTAGAAAAGAGAGAGAGAGAGAGCGCGCTTGGCATGACTTGTTTTTGTGTGCTTACAACTGTTTGTTTCGAATCTTACCTGGTATTGATTTCAGGCTGACAGAGCTGTAATTGTTCAGGTCCTCTTTCTTTTCCCTTTTTATGTTGGGGGACAACATTGGCCCTTCTCCAGTCAGAAATGGCTGGGGCAATCTGACGGTTTTTTAAAAAAAAAAATCCTTGGATGTAGTTCATTTGCCCCTGGAGACTTAAATTCATTTAGAATAGCCAGGTATTCCTCTATTATCTCTTTACTTTTAAGTTGTTTATTTATCTTAATTAAACTGAAATGGCATTCTATATTAAAGGTCATACCTAAGTCACGTGCACCAGAATTTAATGGGATTCGCTCTGTATTCTCCAAAGGGCAACTTTGTTTGATCGGTTTTTCAGGGGCAATGCCAAAAAGAAGAAGATTATCTGTCAAGCTCTTAAAAGCAAATGCTAAAATTGTTCACAAGTTCTACAATTGTTTGGTTATAATGCCTTGCTATTAGAGAAATGTATGATAGCAATTAGACCTGTAATTGAAAAAAATAAACAAAAAGAATATGTTCTGTGGAAACTTTGAGTCCCAGAATGCTTTACAGCTAACTGTGAAACTATGTTCAAGATCATTTTAACTACAACATTTTTCTTTCCCACCTCTGCCAGCACTGTTGACTTCATTGGAAGCTGCTATTTTACAGAAAATTGCAAATGTAAACTAAAGAATGTTGCCTGTTTGAAATGGTAAGTAATATCTAACATAGCATTCAGTCTCTCTGTTAATTTGGGTGAAAGAACATGAAGCTGACTTGATTATTCAGTATTCTCTATTGTTTCACCACAAATTACCACAAACTTCCAGAGTTGAAAAAGCATAGGCTAAATTTCAGCAATACAATGTTTGTTATAGGAAAAAAAGATAGAAAAACTTTGTAGAAACAGAAAAGAAAAGTTCACATTAGTATTCAGAAGCAACCAAAATTCCCCATACACCCAAAGGGGAGCATACAACCTCCCTACTGAGCCAATTCAAAGTGCTGGCTTTAGCCTATAAACCCCTAAATAGTTCCAGTCCAGCTTACCTATCCGAACATATCTCCCTTTATGAGCCAGCTAGAGCACTAAGATCGGCCAAGGGAGGTCCTGCTCTCAGTTCCACTGCCCTCACAGGCACGACTGGTGGGAACAAGAGACAGGGCCTTCTCAGTGGTGGACCATCAGCTGTGGAATTTCCTCCCCAGTGAGATCAGATCAGCCCCCTCCTTCCTGATATTTAGGAAACTACTTAAAACTTGGCTTTTTAAAGCAAGCATTTGGAGAGTGAGAAGAAGCAGCCATGATAACTTCGGGATTGGTGCAATGTCCAATGTTTTATGTTTTGGGTTGTCTATATTTGATGTTTTATAGTTTACCGGGTTTAATCTATTGTTACATGCTATTTTAGTTATGTGTTGTATTTTATATTTTGTGAGGCATTGAATATTGCCATTTACTTTGTTGTGACTTTCTTTGAGTCCCCCAGAGGTAGAGAAACGTGGTAAATAAATAATTTAAACCATTACTCTAATCATGTTACCCACTTTCTGTCCTTTGTTGATTTGTGTGATATGTTCAGGTAATCTACTTTTCAGTTGTTTTTACCTTGATTGAATCTAGTTCCTTCCAATTGTTGGGATTGTGTTCTGGGAAATTCTTATCCTCAAGCATAATCTCAGCTCCTTGCTGGCAGGAGTTAGGAAAGCATAACAGGGCTCCTCCAACATGGAGAAAAGCACCATTGGTAGTTATGATGGGGTGTCTGCAATTGAGTCCAATAGTGTTCCAGATCATTATGTGGATTGTATGCCAGCAGTAGCAACTAGGACCCCCCCCCCCCAAAAAAAATAATAATAATCAGGTTTTTGTGGCTAAAGACCAGGAAGTTACCAGATTTGGATTTGCAGGATCCAAAGCCATTCCTTTGTCCCAAAACTGGCCTAGTTCGGTTAATTTGGAACTGGTATAGTAAATACATATTAAAAACATTATCTTCATAGGTTGATACAAACTGGAAGGACTTCAAATATAGCAGTGGATTGTAGTGCCTATTCATTGCTCTCCCTGCTTTGGACTGCGCTGTCCATAGTTTTTTGTTTCAATGCTTTATTGGAGTTTTACAAAACAATACAACAAAAAAGAGGCTGGACCAATGACAAAGCAAAAAGAGATGATTATACTATTTGTAGAAAGTTGCTACAGAATTATAAAACAGGTCTATAGAGTGATCTGTTTTGTGTTTTGTGGTCCCCTCAGTTTAATAGCATTCTCTTCCAAAAAGCGTAGCAATTGCTACAATTCTTCTACAAAATAAACTTCACTGTTTATCTTCTCTACTGGGTACAATATTGTGACAGATTGATAACCATTAAATCCTTGTGGTGGCTGATGAGCTGAAGGAAGGGGAAAGCTTTCCGCCACCACAGAAAGGAAAGAAGTTTCCCTACTCAGCTTATGTGCCAGGACTGATTTGATCTCATATCTTGTAGATCTACTCAACCTTGGAAGGTGGATCAATAGTCTTACCTTTTTTGACCTATGGTGAAGCAAGTGGGTGGTACTTGTTTTTCAAGGTTTTGTATTTTGTTTTGCGTCAACACAGAACAGTGCTTGGGTTTAAAATTACATTGCAGGGGGTCTGTAGGTGTTCCTGTGGATGTATATTGTCAATTGTTTTGGAAAGACATTTTGTTCCAAATTTAGTCAAACATTGACTTAGTTTCATTACATGAGGAAATCCCATTTAATTAACTTGTTATTTACTGAGGGAGACTTATTAACTGGTGATCCCTCAGCTTACTGTTTGGCCTCGCCTTTCACCTAAGAATGTGCATGTCAAATATTCTATTTGCTCTTCCAGTGGGAATGTGGTAGGTTACCACGTGATTGCTCCATGCAAACCTTGCTTGCTCTCCTGCAACAATGGACACTTCTGGATGTTTCACAGCCAAGCAGTTTTTGGAATCAACAGGCTGGATTCCTCTGGTATGGAACATTTCAAAGATTTCATTGTTCTTGACTTCCTGTCGTGTTCTGTCTCATTGTTTTCATTACAGGGAAATAGTTCTTAGAAAAAAAATGTTTACCAGAAGTACATTGCAGCATCAGGCCCAGTAGCCCTACCTCAGTGGTTCTCAACCTTTCTAATGCAGTGACCCCTTAATACAGTTCTTCATGTTGTGGTGATCCCCAACCATAAGATTGTTTTCGTTGCTACTTCACAACTGTAATTTTGCTACTGTTATGAATAGTAATGCAAACATCTGATATGCAGAATGTATTTTCATTCAGTGGACCACATTTGGCATAAATACCCAATACTCCCAAATTTGAATACTGGTGGGGTTGCGGAGGGAATGATTTTGTCATTTGGGAGTTGTAGTTGCTGGGATTTATAGTTCACCTAAAATCAAAGAGCATTCTGAACTCCACCAATGATGGAATTGAACCAAACTTGGCACACAGAACTCCCATGACCAACAGAAAACAATAGAAGGGTTTAGTGGGCATTGACCTTGAGTTTTGGAGTTGTAGTTCACCTACATCCAGAGAGCACTGCAGACCAATCTTGACACGGATACTGAATACACCCAAATGTGAACACTGGTGGAGTTTGGGGGAAATAGACCTTGACATTTGAAAGTTGTAGTTGCTGGGATTTATAGTTCACCTACAATCAAAGAGCATTCTCACCAATGACAAAATTGGGCCAAGCTTCTCACACAGAACCCCTATGACCAACAGAAAATACTGTGTTTTCTGATGGTCTTTGGCAACCTCTCTGACACCCCCTCACAACTCCCTCAGAGGTCCCGACCCCCAGGTTGAGAAATGCTGCCCTACCTTGTCTTTTTAAAACTAGAATACTGGGCTTATTTTCTTTCTACGTAAAAATCCACTCCGGCTTTCTCCCAATTTGGTCCACCACCACCATTTCATCTGCTGTTTCAGGGGAGCCTTTTATTTTTACATTGGGAATCAAGTGGCACTACCAATCTGCTGGTCTAAGAAATCAATATCAGTCTACCTTCTGCCTACTCCTGACATACACAAGTGTCTCAAGAGTTCTACTGTGTCCTACCTGCTTCTAAAAATAAATCCAGTAAAGAAACACAGCAGGTGAAACTGTTCAGCTTTCATTCTCTTAGGGCCCTTCCTGACAAGCCCTATATCCCAAGATCTGATCCCACGTTTTCTGTTTATCCCAGATTATCTGGCAGTGGGGACTCATAATCCAGTTTAAAGCAGAAAACCTGGGATCAGATCCTGGGATATAGGGCCCTGCCTTGAAGGGCCCTTAGTCACTCAAAAAATCACACACTGATTTGATCAGTGAATTTACTGTAACCTATGCTTCTGACAGCTGGATTTTTGGAAACTCCTATAAATATCAAACAGCATAAGCAGCACACCATTGTGTTTTGTTCTGTGCTTTTTCATGAGTTGTTACACACAACTGTCTAATCTTTAACACTAATTTGTAGGTGGCTTTTTTCATATCAGGAGCAACTTGAGAAATTGCAAATTGCTTCTGGTGTGAGAGAATTGGCTGTCTGCAAGGACATTGCACAGGGGACGCCCGGATGTTTTACTATCCTATGGGAGACTTCTCTCATGTCCCCACATGGGAAGCTGGAGCTGACAGGTGGGAGCTCACTCTGCTCCCTGGATTCGAACCGATGACCTTTTATTCAGCAGTCCTGCTGGCACAAGGGTTTAACCCATTGTGCCACTGGGAGCTTATGCTTCTTGTAGCTACTACAACATCCTATTATTTACATGGGCATTCTTTCGCCTATCCCCAAGTACAAGGAGAGAAGTCAAGAAATTTGTATGTTTCATCATACTAGGAGCCAAATCCATGCCCTATGGGTAGGAATGATAAACATGTGACCCTCCAAATTTTGTTGATCTGTAGCTTCCACCACTCCTCATCTTTGGCTGGTTGATCAAGCTTATAGTCCCTACAACAGTTAAAATGTCACAAGTGCTTGGCCTATGACTTAAGAAAGAGACAGGTCATATTTGTCTTCAGGCATAGACCAATTACACTATGTAACAATTTTTTCAAAAAATGTCCTGGTTTGAAAGTATTATTTCCTGTTTAATTGTGGCATGATTATTTTTAAAGTAGTTGTTATAATCCAGAAACTTCATTTTTGTGGCTGCCACAAACCATGTTGAATTGGTTGATACTCTATGAAATATTCATTGAAAAACTATAGCCTGATGTGCTGCAGGATGTCCCGCAAAAACAAAGTTGAATAAACTTTTTTCATGTTTTTAGAACCAATTAGGAAATGACATTTATATGTTAATTTTAATATGTTTTTAACTCCATGTTTTAATGTTGTTAAATTTTTATGATCTAATCGATAGTTATATGTCACTGTTTTTTTATGTTAGGTTTCGTATGTATGTGAAGCATTACATTTTGCCATAAATATGTTGGAAACAGTTTTGAGTCTCCCCCTGGGGTGAGAAAACCAGTATACAAGTGAAATCTATATATATAAATTTCCTCCTGGCGTCGTATGAGGAAACAAAACTCAAAAACCCCCCAACGAAACGCCACCAAACTTCCCATGCCCCAAGGGCAACCAACAAGGTACAAACTAATCCACTCAGAAATCAAAAACACACAACAACAACCACAATAAACGACAAACCAACTGAGCATGCGCACTGGCGCAAACTCCCTGGCGCGGACACACATGGCCCCTCACCCTCCCCCCCCGGCGCGGCACACACACGCGCGCGCGCACGGCCCCCCCCCCCCCCCGACGCGGCACACACACATTCTGCCAAGAAGCAGGAATATTGCATTCAAATCACCCCTGACAGGAGAGAAAGAGGGAGGGAAAGCAAGAAGGAAGGGAAAAAGAGGAGAAAAAGGAAAAAGAGAAGGAAGAAAGGAGAGAAAGAGGGAAGGGAAAGAAAAAGGGGGAAGGAAGGAAAGTGAGAGAAGGGAGGAAGGAGAGAAGGAAAGAAAAAAGGGAAAGAAGGAAGGAAAAAGAGAGAAGGAGGAAGGAAGGGGGAAGAGTAGAGAAAGGGAGGGAGGGAAGGAAAGAGAGAAGGAAGGAAAAGGAAGAAGAAGAGAAAAAGGAAAGAAGAAAGGAAGGAAAAGAGGGAGAGGAAGGGGAAAAAAAAAAAAAGAAGAAAGGGGAAGGGAAGGAAGAAAGGAAGGAAAAGAGAAGGAGAAAAGAAAGGCAAAGAGAGAAGGAAGGAAAGAGGTAGAGAAGGAAGAAAGGAGAGAAAGAGGGAGGGAAAGAAAAAGGGGGAGGAAGGAAAGTTAGAGAAAGAAGGAAGGAGAGAAGGAAAGAAAAAAAAGGGACAGAAGGAAGGAAAGAAGGAGCGAAGGAAGGGGGGAAGGAAGATGTAGAGAAAGAGGGAGGAAGGGAAGAGGAAAGAGAGAAGGAAGAAAAGAGAGACGGCAGAAGAGAAAAAGGAAGAAGGAAGGAAAGAGGGAGCGAAGGAAGGGGATAAAATGTAGAGAAAGAGGGAGGGAAAGAAAGGAGGAAAGAGAAGGAAGAAAAGAGACACAGCAGAAGAGAAAGAAAAAGGGGGAAGGAAGGAAAGCGATAGAGAAAGAAGGAAGGAGAGAAGGAAAGAAAAAAGGGACAGAAGGAAGGAAAGAAGGAGCGAAGGAAGGGGGGAAGATGAGAGAAAGAGGGAGGGAAGGAAAGATGGAAAGAGGGAGAAGGAGGAAGGAAGAAAGAAAGAGAAAGAAAGAAGAGAAAGAAAAAGGGGGAAGAGAAGGAAAGGAAAGAGGGAAGGAAGGAAGGAGAGAAGAGGAAAGAGGGGAAGGAAGGAAGGAAACAGGGAGTGAAGGAAGGAGGGAAAGAAGGGGAGATAGGGGGAAGGTTGGCCACAGCAACGCGTGGCAGGGTACAGCTAGTAAATAAATAAATGTATAACCCAGGAACAAAAATTGTGTAACACGGTGTTATCATCTTACACTGTATTGCTCTGTTGCCATGTAATACAGTCTTCCCCAACCTGCTGCCCTCTACATGTATTAGTCCACATTTGTATCACCAGCATGGCTATGACCACATTGGTTGGAGATGATGGGTGATATATTCAACAAAGTCGATTCAGTACTTAGGATCTGAAGTCAGAATTGCTTGCTTTATCTTGGTTAGTGTGTCATAGTGACACATATGTATTGCTGTAGGAAAAATAATAATTGGACCCATCAAGATTAGGGAATTCTCCCGAAGCAAAGATGTGCACATTCCAAAGGCCACATCCCACCCAGAACTGCCATTGGCTGCATTACTGTGCTAAACCTCCAACCCAAAAATGGCTAGATGTTTATGCCTGTTTTCCTGCTTGCTACCCAGAGAACAAGCAACCACTGTTTTAAGAAAGAATTTAGGAGACTAAATATTATTATCTCAATTGGTTTCTGGGACTCCAGGTGCCACAGAATAAGCCAGAGGTGCAACAGCTGGTCTCTCCTTTCCTAAAATATAGGTTTTCTTTCACCTTGGAATTATTTTCTCCTGGGTGTATGCCCAAATGCTGGGATTTGATTAAAGTTTCTAATTAAAACTATAAATGAAATAATTATAACCTGCTTACACAAAGTCAACCAAGTGTTGATGACCACTTATCATGCACCAGTTCAGGAAATTAGCACTTTCGTGGCATTTAAGAGCCTAAGCTGGGAATAGCCAGCCCTGTACCATATGGACTGTTGCACCTTCAAGAGTGATGTGGAAGTGGGAATATTGATAGTGACAAGTTTGCAGATTCTTGCTGCACTGTTACGTAAAAGCTACACTTTCAGAAATTATCTCCTTTGTACAATTGAAATGCTAACCTTGAACTAAAAGTTATATTTCATTGGCTTTAAAAAAAAGACTAAATGTACATTAATTGTTATTGCTGCAATTAAGGTTATGAATTTCTTTGGCAATGTTTTTTCCCCCTGATATCTTGGTCAAAGACAATATCTGCACTTTCTTTTTAAGGTACACACTTCTTGCTTTGGGGAAACTTGCCTGATTTAGAGGAAAGTGCAGATGAGGACGTGTCCAGCATCTCTGAAGAGGAATATATCAGATAAATCTTATCAACACTGTGTCTCTCACATTCCTAAGATGTGCAAATCCCATCAGGGCAATGCAAAAAAAGAGAAGGCAGTCGCTTCAGAGGAGCAATACCTGTTGACTTTAGATTGTCTGATCTAGTAAGCATCCTGATAAAAGACACACTTAATATGCGAAGGTTTAAAATCCCGTTCTTTCTGTTTTCTGAAGAGACACTTGCCCTCCGTATGCATAACTGGCTTCTGCAATCGCTTGCTGTTGCTTCTTAAAGGATAGAACAAGACAAGATCAAGGAGAGACGCTCCACATCACCATCACACAGTTACACCGAGAAGGTATAGCAGTAGAGAGAGAAACTCTGTGGTGTTTGACGCATGGTGTGTTATCTCTTGGCCTGCCTGACCTCATTTTTTTCTGAACAGCTGGCTGGGCCAGGGGCTACACATGGCTTCCCTTTAGGGGCCACAGCTAATGCGGCTACATTGCAAGCCACCAGTGAATACTGACTGTGCCGTTGGCAGCCTTCCAGAACCCTGTTTGGATGACATGAGAGAGAAGGGAATTTGGGACTTTCTTAAATCTAGGTCTTTCTGCATGTGATGTACAAGAGCAGCACACTTCTGAGCTTTGCTAAAAGCCTTGCTTTCGAAGAAACCTACAAAAAAGCTTCTCCCTGCCAGCATATGTGCAGCCAACAAGTGTGAGGGCATAGCCTGGGAAATGGCATGCTTCCCTGCTCCTAATGGAAAGAGAAGGTGTAAAGGAAGCATAGCAAAAGAATCTGAATTGTCATCTGTTTCTAGATCTATGGCTGCACATGATCATGAAACAAAGAGGTTAAAATAATAGTATCCAGGGAGTGGCATTGTTAACAATGTTTGCTGATCTTTTCCATTTTATGAGAAGAGACTAGCAGCAGGCATGACACCGGAGAAGAATGTAACAAATGCAAAGCCAGATTCAATAAAAATTTCCTTCTGGCTCCCTGCTGCTGGCACAAGAATATTCCCTACATAGCTGGTGGCACAGTGCCTTTTGGAAAGAAGTCAGCCAGGCATGGCTCGAATTGAATCCGGTCTCTAGTGTACTGAAATCAAAAGCAGCAGTTAGGTAGCTTGCAAGTTGAATAGTTTACTTTCCCCAAATTGATGAAGTGTCATCTGGAGTGTAATTTTTTAAAGAGTAGTAATGTGCTCTTGGAAAGGAAAAAAATATAGAATTGCAAGAATATTCAAGCGCTTTTGACACTTTAAATGCTCCAGTTTATGAGGTAGTTTACAGGCCTGGTAAAGATCCTGTGCCTCTGCTATAGTGAATTTGCAGTTGGTAGAAAGAACTTGCATGCCTGCCTCAACTCTGAATCAATTAAACTGAATGAGCCATAAGCCTGTTTGTTTGGTTTCTTTAAAGGAATATGCTCTTGATATTTTATCTTGGTTTGCAAGGTAACTTGAGAAAGATGATACTAAATGAACTCTCAGAAGTCAGTTTAGTTGCCAGGCTTTCTTTGTGCATAGATCCTCCTAGGTGGTTTGTTTTTTTAAAAAAATATTCATTTTCAAAGGTGTGAGAGTCTGTGCTCACAGTGGCACAGAAAGGGATTGGGTGGAAGTACCATTCAATGAGAGTGGTGTGATTGTTAGGAAAGCAAGAAAGCATATTGGTTATGCATGCCATGAAAATAATAATCATCATCATCATCTCTAGATTTCCCTCTCTTTCTAGAGGGATTCAGGGTGGTTTACATATAAAAAGGCAAACATTCAAAGACAAACATTCGATGCCTCAAACCAGTAACCATTTATTTTGTATGCTCAAAAATCATCCAATGCCTGATATTACTCCTGAAAATGATGGGGACTGTGTGGCTGTCAATACTCATTAGGTTGGGATAATAAGGGCTTCATTTGGTGCAGGCTGGGGAAGAACAAGAGCAAGAAGAATGCTGTACAACAAATGGATTCAATCAACCATGGCTCAAAAATTTTAAAAATCCAAAAAGCAAACCTTGATTTTGCCATGTGACAAGCACTACATTAATATGTAGGCATACCCCACTCTAGCCTCTCACCATTTGACAGATCCTTGGGCTTTCTCTGGCACCTATTTGACATTTCATATGAGGGGCTCCATTTAGTATGCCATTTATATAATAGTACTGCAGTATTCATGGATTTTAGTATCTACAGGGGTCCAGGAAGCAAACCTTGGTAGGAACCAAGGGCCCACTGTACTCTCAATTGATGACAGATGAGAAGTTCTTAAAGAAGAGGCTTGAATGTATTTTGTTATATATATTTAGGTCAATCAAGAGCACACAGCATCCAAAGAATTTCATGCTTTATTTTGTTATGTTACATGCACATAGAACCATATGTTACAGAACAGAACAATGTGCTAGTTAAGCATAGAGATTAAAAGTCCTGAATGACTTGAAGTTATCCAAGGGCATTAAGATTATGAGCACCTGTTACTCTATTTGAAGCAAAAAATTCAACATCTGCTGAAAGGAAATTCAAATCAAGCAAGGAAATACTACATGAGTGTTGATGTAATCAAGCTTTAGAGCTATGTATTATATTTATTGAATATGGATTAGGAAGTGGAGGTTAAAATTGGTTTGGACTACCCATCGAGTTTCAGCTGACACCTATACTGCAAATGGTTAAGTGCTAATTCAAAGACTTTTTATTGGGTTGTCAAAGGCTTTCATGGCTGGAATCACTGGATAGCTGTGAATTTTCTGGGCTGTATGGCCATTTTTCAGAAGCATTCTCTCTTGACGTTTTGCCCACATCTATGGCATGCATCCTCAAAGGTTGTGAGGACGTTAGGAAACGTCAGGAGATAATGCTTCTGGAACATGGCCATACAGGCCGGAAAACTCAAACCAACCTAGACTTTTTTTATTGTTTGGCAATGTATTTTAATTGGTTGGTTTTGTTTTGTTACTGTTTTTTGCTGCTTGTCTTTGTTTTGCAGATATCTGTTAGAGTTGCATTGCTTTAAATACATCAAATTGTTGTACCATATTTGCACACAGTCCTGGTATGAAGTATATTCTAAAATGTTTGAATTAATAAAAAATCAAATAATTTGTCTTGCTTAATCCTTTTACTATGAATAAAAGTGGGAGATAGTGTGGTCCTTTAAGACTTTGTTTGGTCTTCAACTCCCATTAGCTCTAGCTAGGATAGGTAATGGGAAATTATTACAGTGATGCAATCTGGCAACTTGGGGAAAATGTGAACTTGGTAAAATGGAGAGCAGTGACAAAAGATGAAAACTGTACTATGCGTGGAAAGAAACCACAGCCCTGAGTTTGCTACACCTGAGCAGGGCAGTGGATGACTAGAGATCTTTGTGGTCACTCATTCATAGGATCATCTTGACAGCAAATAGCCAGAAGTCTGGCAACATCTGGAGTGCACAACTGCCCATCCTTGTTGTAGGTCCTTTAGGAAAGAAGATGAGTGTCCTTTAAAAAAAAAGATGAAAATGTATATTTGGGAGAGTCATCCATACCAGAGGTATTAGGACATTTATAGCATATGGGCAGAGACAAGTCCTAGATCAGAGATGAAAATTATGTTGCTCCCTAGATGTCATGTGACTGTTTTAAGATCCACCATTCTTTATCATTGGATGTACTGTCTTGGATTGTGGGAATTACAGTCCAAAAATATCTGGAGGACTATACACTTCTGTAGGATTTACCAATGGAGAATATTGCATTAAAAGCCTGGGAGAGAAAAAGAGAGAGAGCTAATTAAACTTTTACTGTCTTGAGCACATATCAGTTTTATATATGTTTACGTGCAATAAATTTTGAAAAATTACTTGAAGCATGTTAAAAAAGCAAAATATTTAATATGTTACAATGGCAGGTAACTAACTGGGTTGATATTCCTTCTCAGTACTATATTTAATGAATTAGATGCTATGGGTAGTGGTAAGTGGGATAATCCGAGAAGAAAAAAAGGCTGCAATACTATTCCCACTTATCCTTTGAATTCAGGGTAATTTATCTCTAAATAAGCATATCAGATTACACAGTTATATTGGTTCCAAATGAGAAAGAAAGGGAATAATTTGGTTAAAATCGATAAGACAAAAAAATCTTAGTTCATACCAATTATTTGTCCTCTGAGAAACCTCCGAAACAGCAATACTGTTTTCCAAGGTACTCAAGGTTTGCACATGGACACGTGAGCTCAACAGCAAACTGGGTCTACATCTTTATACTAAAAATAGATATTCAGTTTATTGTTTACATTTTCAAGTGTATCGAATAAATTGTTATGAATATGACCAGTTATGTATATGCTGTTTATAAAATGCATGTGAAAAGAATGGGAGCAGAGTTAGGATGGAATAGTGTTATTTATTAAAACAGTATACAATGCTTCTTTACATTTATTCCTAATTTTAACACTTTAGAGACCCAATGCTGATCTCAAAGCACTGCATGGGTGTGCATGCATTATTTTGGCAGGCATTGCATGCTCCCTTTTGTGACTGCAGTGGAAAATATGAAATGAAGTAACTATTCTCACAAGTACCACAAGAAAGAGAGGGAATTGTCCTACTTATACATTATTCCCCTGTTGTTTGAACTAAGGTCAGTCAGTGTCCATCCATCTCTCAATCTCTCTCTTTCTCGTTCTCTCTCTCTGTGTGTGTGTGTCTCAATGGGCTCCATAATGCATTATTCAACATTGATTGTAGCTAAGCATAATGACTGACCATCAGGGGGAAAGCAGCAAAAAGTCACAGCAAAACAAAGATCCATTCTTTTATTTTCCTTCTAAAATGAAACGAGTGTTCATATTAATATAGCTTTCATTTCAGCACACATCAATCTGTAGTGTCTAATAAATGCATGTAAGAAAAAATACAGTACTTTTGTAATTGCATCTACAAAATCCTACACATGCAACTGCTTATAAGTAACAACTCACCTGCTGACTATGAGGCAAGCTTATTGTGCTACAATGACAACCTATAGCAATTGAAACAGGACTCAGGGTGCATCAAGGCAGCTCAAAAATGTGAGAACTTCTGGATTTTTACCAGGGGCATCCAGACGACACCTCAGGTAAAAATGAATTCCTTTGGGACAAAGCAGAAAAACCCTGCTTTGTCCCAAAGTAATTTGACACCTGGAAAGATCTGGGTCTTTCAGAAGACCCAGGCCTTTCCATCTGTGGGTGATGTGTGGATTGGGCCCAAGGATCACATTGCATGACTTCTGGTTCCCAATCCACACAGCTGTCTCAGGAGTTTTGGGCTACTGGAGCCCGAAAACCCCAAGACAGCCCCCCTCCCACCCCACCCCAGAAAAGCCTTTAAAAATAAGGGGGAAAGGAAAATTGCTCCTGCCCTCCCTCCTTCTCTTGAAGCATCATTTCTACATGCCAGGAGAGCTCCAGAGAAGGGGAAATGGTAGCCAAATAAATTATTTTCTTTTTTAAGGCTCTTCTGGGGGGGGGGGGGGGGTTTTGTGTCGGGGCACCCCCCCCCCCCCCCAAGGAAATTGTGAATGTTGGGGGAAGATGTGTGGACTCTAATGCGGGCCCAATCGGGTTTCTTGGACTCGCATTAAAGTCCTGTCTGGAACTGCCCTCAGTCCTTACCCTACAATGCTGTCACCTAGCTATGTAGATATACTTTTCCAAGACAATGGTTTTAATCAGCATAGTCCACTATACCACATTCTTATGTATTTGGTGTTACTTCCTATCACATTTTTAGGCTAATATGTTCAGTTCTTGCTAGGTTCTGGTGGTTGGAAAGTCTATTTGCATGCATGTTTTGTCTGCTCTAACCATAAACTCCCTGCCACATCTCAGAGTTATCTTGTTTGCAGACAGTTGTAGGGCTTTCATCAGTGCCCCTTGTCAAAATGTATTCTTTAAGCAGAAGTTCTTGGACTCATCATAGATTTTCTACTCAAACAAAGCAAATATGGGACAGCAGTCAAAGAAAATGACTTACTCAGATCTGAACTCTTCAAAGAAACTCTCATGCTTTATGTGGTTTTGGCTGCAGTTTGCCTGTCATCTGTGGTTTTTCAAAGTAATGACAATTTGATGTCTCTGGGTAATGTCATACTCCAGGAAAATTAGCTCAAAACGTGTCTTACAGACTTCCATCCCTCTGTTAATGTATCTAGGCAACATGGAGGCAAGTTTGAGAAACCCTGTTACCTCCCTTGAACAACCAAGGGCTTGAAATAGAACATTTCAGTGTAAAGACAGTTAAAATCCACTACAGTTTGCAAACATAAATTTTGTGTGTTCAGAAAGACATACTGTGGATATATATTAAATCTGATAAGCTGTTCTTAAACGTGATTTGTGATGTCATCTTAGTTATGTTTCCT